CCACAGGCTGTCCTGCCTAGCCTGCGCTGTCCCTGCGTTATATGGTTGGGGGTGTGAAAGCTGGTGGGGTTGCCTGTTGTAGATAAAATGGCAAATGCTAGATTTATGTTCAGTTATTGCATGATGCTGAAATAGTTTTGCAGTCTGATGTGCATCTGCAAGGAGAAACAGCTGGGCACTGCAGGACAAAAGCCTCTGCATCGAGTGAAGCAAGCAGTACAAAAGCAACACAAAGCATTGAAATCCCACAATGCGTGTTCTTTTGCAGTGCCATTTGAAGGAAACATCTCCATCGTGAAATTAAACCTGATTGAAGCGTGCAGTTCCCACTGCCAGGTGCACAGTGCACCTCAGAGGATTGCACGCAGCTCAAGCAGCAAGGCGAGCAGGGTAGGGCTCTGGCATCCCTGCACATAGATATCACCGAGATGCGTGAGGTGATCTCTCGAGAAAATTTTGCAGATGAGAAGCACCATGGGCTCGCAATAAAATGGTCCATACAGATATAAACACTGCTTCAGGAAGGCAGGTTCTCTGCAGTTGTGTGTTTCCTGCGCTGGCTGCAGGATGAGGGCTGTTGGAGAACACAGGATGTTTTCTGTTGAGAGACTTTGGAGAAGTAATAAATAATTATTGGTAAGTAATTAAAAAAAAAAAAAGAGAAAGCCAAGCACCCCCTACCTCCTCCAGGACAAGGAGATCTGACTGGCAAAGGTGATGGCAAGTTTAGATGTAGCAGAGCTTTATGTTCTGCTTTGTTTTAGGCTTTGGTTCTGGGGAAAAAAAAATAGTGTAAAAAACACAACAAACCCCAAACTCACAGATGGTTATACAGTCATCCTAAGTGGTCACGAAATATTTGCACTAGTGGAGTTGCCAGGAGGGAGGAGAGTGCCTAAAATTCTGGCTATTTACCAGTTTGTTTACCACATGCAGATTTCTCTGCTATTGCCTTAAGCGAAAATGGCAAAAGCCAACAGCAGTCCAGCACTTAAGTGCTAAGCTGCTCACCAATACAAAAAAAAATGTGAGCAAAAGCTGTGGCAAACACGCCTCGTTTCAACTCCAGCAACGGGTTGAAGTTGTGATGTGTTATTCTAAAATACTACAAAGTTGTGTGTGTGCTCACAACTGCAGACCTTGGGATGCCTGAGCTCATGGTTTGGGCTTGGCTGCTTTCTGGTGTTGAAATACGTGCAGCTCCGGAAGGATCTGCGCTAGTTCTAAAGGGCAAGTTGTCTTTACGTGAGTTTTGCTGTGCTTCTCTGGATGCCAGACAAATGGCTGTCCTCCAGATGCGTTTGGCACTAGTTTGTCTGGGGTTGTCTTACAGCGTGACCCCAGTTTATCACTGCAGCAAGCACATGGCGGTTCCTGCCCTTACTTGCACTGTCCTTTCCCTCTCCGTGAACTGTGAAGCATCGCTAGCTGTTGCAAAGCCAGGTCCAGGGCTGGCCTAAGGCAGACATCAGAGCGGGCAGGTACTATCGCTGCTGTCCAGAGACCCAGAAACTGCTGCTGGCAAGAGCGGTTTGTTATCTAGCGTCCTTGTTCCCCTTCGCGTCCACCTACCTCTCCTCTATCCATCGCTTTTAGGAACTCCCCAAGGCTCATGGGCAAGCCTTGGGATGCTTCAGTGGGAGCATTGCTGTGCCACCGAACGGAGCCATGGCACTCACCATTTCTCTCTAGGTAGCCTGCTTGCCGAAGTCTAAGAGAGTAGAGTCTGATCTGGTGCCTTCCAAATTAGGGGCTGGGGGTTCAGGATAGCCTCTGAATATCCCAAAGTACATCACAAGATCAAAGGCTGCTCGTAGATGGAAACAGGTAGTTCAGCATGCTACAGCCTACCTCTGTTAAACAATTTTAAGGCACAGGAAAACAACAAACAAAAAACCAACAAGAAACCCAAAACAAAACCCAGGCTTGATTAAGGAAATATTTACAGGCCATTTACAAGCAAGGAAGGCAGCTTGATTAGTTCGATGAGCTGCCTGACCAGCCCTGCTACCCTACCGAAACTGCTGGAGTTGGTGGCGTTGTGTGACGTATAGCAGTGTGAACAGAAGCATTGCTACTGGCGGGGGGAGGGGGAAGAAGAGGTAGCAAAGAAATGAAGTGGACACCATCATGATCCTGGTCTCGTGCCCTGGCACTCATAGTTTCTGCGCCACCTCCCATCCCCTTCTCCAGAGCTGGGGTAGTGATACTGGTACACCCCCTCCGTTCGACAGCAAATATTTTTCTTATCGGGCTTGTCATAAACAGAAGATCATGACTTCGCTGAAGATCACAAACCTATGCAAAGAGAAGACAATTTTATCCTAAGTGGAACTGTGAAGATCTGGACTAGGTAGGAAAGCAAGCATGGCTCTGAAGAAATCTTCTTCCTCGTCTAACCCTCAGCTTAATGCAGCTGATCTCCTATTTGAAAACAGGATGCATGTTTTAGTATAGAGTAACACCTACAATATCAAGTTATAGAAATAGCTTCCACAGCTGCCTTGTTCAAGACTTTCACTGTCCAGAGAGAACAATTCTGCAGGATGACAGTGGATAACAACTTGATTTAAACTGGGCACTTTGAGAGAATATACCACCTTCTCTGTACAACTGCTGCTCAGTGCTGTTGTATAGCAGTCTCCAGGAAACAGAAAGCCAGATGCATATGTAAAATTGTTTAAAAAAGATTACCAGTCCAGAGACAAATTTTACCAGTATTTTGTACTTGAAATACACTGAGCATGGTGAGCATTGTTGAGTTATTTCAGTCAGTTTGGGCTCCTATCCAATACTTTAAAAAAACAACTCCATAGCTAACGTGCAGCACGACGGGATAGCCTTTGGCGAGGGACATCCAGGCAGTTAATTTAACTGTCACATCGGTGTCTTGTAATGGTACAGTTTTAGAGCCTGGCTCACCGTGAGCAACTAGACACCACTCAGAAGGAAGGCCATTTCAGGACTTTGTTGAAGATCCCACTGAGCCTGGAGGACTAACAAACAGTCAACCACAGTTGAAACAAGGTTAGCAAAATGCCTTGAAGTCCTTTTTATTTTTCTTGGCGAACCCAAAGGATCTGTTAATGGAAATATCATTTCTGAAAAACGTTTTTAGACTGAAGATACTTGTAAGACACAGCTTTTTCACAGAGGAACCAGAATGGGGAGGAATAGGATGAACTTCACTCTTCGGGATGTTAAGAGGTTTACACTGAACAGCATGGCAGCATGCTGCTCAGGAGATGCCGGTCTTAAAAGTGGGAAGGGCACCTTAAACACAGACCTTTGAATGAGCACAGAAGTTTTTTTATTAGGGCGAATACCCTTTCCTTTCATCACTATTCAGTGACTAAGCATGGAGTTGTACCTCAGCTTTGTCTGTACTGTGGCCTGGACTACCTGACACCTTTTGAAGGGGTGTTTTGCTGTTCATTGCCTTTATCAATTCAAGAGATTAGGGAACAGAACCAAGTATCAGAAAACAGATGTCAAAACTAGGAAATACTTTTGCCCCCTCATAAAATCATTGTATAAAGCTTCTTGCTGCAGCAAACTGCAGAAGCTACAAGTATATAGCTGATAAATAAAAGGGATGAGACAGTTAATGGAACTAAATCCATCAGCAGCTATTGCAGATATACAGCCTGCAGCTCTGGAGGTCTAAAAAAAAAAATTAAAAACCCCAAACCAACAAACAGTAACTGTGAGAAGAAAGGATTGTGTAAACCAGGGCAGGATCGCTGTCTAAATGCCCTCTTTCTCTGAGCATCTCCTGTTAGCCACTGCCCGATACCATGCAAGCGCCTCATGCACTGTGCATCATCCAGGAGAATTTTCTGATAAGATGTTTTAGTAATTTACCAACATGTAAGACAAAAAAAAAAAAAAAGGCAACTGTGAGCTGTCGTCTAAACTCTTAGATCATTTGGATGTTCTCAAAAGAATTCTCTCATGAAAGTCCAGAACATTGAGGGAAGCTGAAGGGAGTTATTTAATATCAACAGGCTGTCTAGAAGACCTGAGGATTGTGCTTTTGCTCAAAAGAGGCATCTTAGAACGTCAAACCACTAAGTAAAGGTCAGGCAGCACTACAGAATGAGGCCTTCTGGTGCAGTGTCAACCTCCAGGGTACCTAGATCCTCCACATGTTTCAGCTAACCTACAAGTCTGTGTCAATACCCTACGCCATGACCTGCCAAGTCAGCTCTGTGACAATAGGTAAGGGGATATCAAAGCAGCATGCACTGAGTGAGACCACCAGATTCAGCCTCCAAGTGCCAAGCGGCCTCTGGCTTGAGCAGCGTAGGAGAAGCATGCTCCTGCCCTCTCCTTCCAATGCAAGGCAGAGCAAGTTTCCCAGAAAGGGACCAAACCATTTTTATTTTTTTTTAAACTAAATGCTTTTAATAGAAAACAAAATACAAAATAACTCTTTCCAGAAAGCAGAAATATTTAATCTCTCCAAATGACAAACTAGAACGTGCTTTTTCCGCAGATCCTTGTTGTAAATGCTGATGATTTATCTCACAAAGTGTTCATGAAACTGATATTGCAACATTTTGAGAAAAATCCAACACTGGCAGAGCTGCCTCTGTGTACACACAATAATTTAGTAATACTATTTTTTCCCATGTCACTTTGTGTGTCTCTTTCTCCCCGTCCCCCTCTCCTTAGACTGCCAACTTCCATTTACGGAAATATTTCTGTGAGGTGCAGTAGTGGACTGACATGCCCCATTTCCATTAGAAGTCCAAACTTAGCCACTTCAGTTCTATAGTGCCCTCCCTCCAGACAAGGCAAGTCATTTATTACCACTAAAGCCACCGCTCTACCCCACTGTCCTCCCATCCTCAAAACACAGTGCAACCTGATTCAGAAAGATTCCTAATTAATGGAACATAAATACAAATATCACAGCTAGTACCAGGAACCAAACCCAAATGACAATGCAGAGATGGGCCCCAACTGAGGTCAGATTTCCATCCCCTTACTAAAAAGAAAGACGGTATTTTCTACTTAGCTAGTCCAAAATATTCCAGAAGTGCTATAGGGAGCTGTAATATTTAGGACCACTATCACTGTAGAAAATACATAATGTTCTTTTAATATAAGGGTCTTAAAATGCTGGTCCTCTGCAATACCAGGAAAACAAAAAGAAAACAAAACAAAAAAACACTGGGCCAGTAGTTCTCCACACTCTCAAGCCTCAATTAACAGTAGGTAAGATGTGCCCATCAATCAATGCAGGATATTTAAGTGCAGGTCAGCAGCTTATCTGGTTGGTGGTTTCACTTGTCTGGACCAGGCTTTCAGTTTCCCCAAGCTACTGGATTTCCTCCCCTTTTCCCCATCCCTACAAGATTAGAATGTATATGTATTTTCATCACTCCTCCTTTTTTCCTTATTCTGTTTAACTGCACAGGCCTTTTTGTAGGCAAGACATTTTAAAGCATTTGCATCACTTTGAACATGCTTTTCAAGGGGGCAGAGGAAGAAAAGTGTTTCACAGTCAGTAATCTCAGCTTGCAACGGACTCTGGCATTCAATACACCCACCCACTTCCCTAAGAAAAAAAAAAAAATTAATGTTCCTGATTTTCTTGTGCAATTCCAGTCACTAGAAGAAGATTACAGGCCATAAACTGTACGCTCAGTACATTATTCATTTGTCCGGTATATACACCAACGAGTTCACTGGAAGACCCATCTGCAGGGGCATTGCAGTAAGTGTTCCGAATGTCCCAGACCCGGACTGAATTGTCCATCGACGCCGAAGCAATTAAACTACTGTCGGGGCTAAAAGTAAGGCTGGTTATGTTGTCCGTGTGCCCCCTCAGTTCTTTGTAAAGAGTTCCTGATGCCAAGTCCCACAGCTTTAGCCGCTGGTCTTCGCCTGCTGATGCCAGGTACTTACCGTTGGGAGAAAACGCAAGCGCTAGCACGGGACCACGATGCCCGGTGAAAAGACGCACCGAGTTGCCTTGCTGAGTGCTCCACAAGCGCACAGTTTTGTCCGTGGAGCCCGTCGCTAAGTAGTTGGAATTGGGGTGGAACTTGACGCAGTCTACATCCGCCAAATGGCCCGCATATATTCGCAGCGGATACGTCCGATCAAATGACCAGAGCCTTGCAGTGCGATCATGGGAACCACTGGCAAAGTACAGGCTGCAGGGACTAATATCCAAATCCCAGACAGGATAGGCATGTCCTTGGTACAACACAGTGTTTGTAAAACTTCCGAGGTCCCAATATCTGATGGACATGTCCTCAGAACAAGATAAGAGTCCTGAACTGTCTGAAAGGAACCTTGTGCTATACACAGGTCCACAGTGTCCTCTCAGGATCTTCATTTCTGTGCCTGCGCTGTCATCCTCTTCCTCCTGGTTGCAGAGGAGAAAAAACAAAGAAGAAAGGAAAGCATGTTTATCTGTTCAACAAATACAGGAACCACCATGGGGAAAACAGGCAGGCATTAATACAGAGGAAGTTATTTTAGACATGGCTCATTTTGTGCAATTCGGACACAAACATTGCTAGTGCATTTGCTACATCTAAGTTAATGCTGCAAGAGATGGGGAGATAAGACTTTATTTATATAAAGGTTTTAGCTTCATTTTTTTTGTAGCCTCATGCTCACTCCAGAAGGCACCTTAACCTGGGACTATATACAAATAGGAGGAAAAAAAAAAAAGTATTTTAGACATTTTTCCACTTGCTAAAAACATATGCTTATTCCCTATCCGTTCTCCACTAAACTTTTGGCTAAGACATTGAAATAGATCTTGGCATCTGCTCTTTCGGTGTGGTCATTACTGGAACCGAATCTCACAGTAGAGAAAAAGAAACCCAGATGTCTTAAACAAAAGAGAGGAGATGGAAAGCCAAAGCATATTTGTCAAGCTGTTTGCTGGACATGCCTTCTTAACCCCACACATGAACAGAAACCGAGTAAGGCTGTAATATCTATTTCTCCACGCAAGCTCCATCAGGATGCTTTCACATCCTCACCCTTCAAGAGCAGCCTTCAAGAACAGCAAATGTATGCAGCTTATTTAGGTCAAAGAATCTATTTTGAGGTAGGAGAAAATGAATAATCACAAACAGGATGGCACTGGAAACCTTTTTATGCTGTAATTCTCCAATTCAAGTACCAAGGCAGATAGTGAAGAAGTAAAGGCTTTCACGTTTGAAGACCCTTCAGTGAGCTGCGCAAAGGAATCTCCCAATGGAGGGTACGTGTCTCAAAGTCTACTCAAGTAGCATCTCTTGACAATCAAAGGCTACAGACTGCACAGTTTTCATCAAATCCCAACTCGAGGGAGTATCCTTGCCTGACAAGCTGGGGTCTCACTGAGAGTGCAAGATAAGCATGGCTTGGGGTGCGCCTATGTAGCAGCTTGAGACCACCCTTCCTCAGGGCTGTTAGGCAGACACTGTTCCTCAGTACTGAATCAGCAACACTCATCCATGGACAACCTCTGCACATCAAATTCAGCACAATGCCCTTTTGTTTGTGAGCAGCCCCTTTAACTTTTATAATCACAAACTGGCCCATTTCCTGCAGAAGGAGCACTTCCTGGCCTGAAAGGAAACCCAATTCCCCAGGGCTGCCGGACTGCTGGCGACCAGCAGAAGTCAGTGCACCGTGAGCGGTTCTCTTGGCTGACACAGTATCTCCCATCCCTCTAACCTCAGGACTCGTGGACGGTTTTGCTTCAGACCTACCAACAGTCCCAAAAGTCCTTCTCCTCCAGTGGTTTCCAATCTCACATAACAGGTGAGCAAACTTTGCGAGCTCACTGCCTTTCTCCAGCTCAGCTGCGTGTTTAGTGGTAGGCAGCAAGCTGGGTTTAGCAATGCTACTTCTCCTCGGAGTAGTCAGCGCCCATGGGAGTTTCATGATGTGGCTGGGAGCCAACTTCATCTCTGCTATGGAGGTGAAGCAGAGAGAAATTACAGGCTCTAGCATGCAAAGCCCCATTCTTATTCAAATTGCTTTTTCTACCTCAGGTAGAGCATCGCTTGCTGGAATCCACAGCATCTCTAGGCTACGTTACCACATTAAAGGAGAGAGGCTGATACCTGCAGCATTTTATACTATTTAATTACAACCATAAGATTCCTGACAAGTTACCAGTGGAAGCCCATTCAAGTTACCTATATTGTACTATAGTTTTTGTAAATTCTGCAAGTCCAGGTACTTAATTTTATGCCTTCAAATTCATAGAAGGCTACTTGGGTCATCTGCAAGCACATATTCTTTTTTCTTTTCAAGCACCTACTCTTATTCTCTTGTATTACAGTAGCAGATTATTTGAAAATGCCTTCTGAAGCATTCAAAACCACACTCCTATACGGTCACAGGTAGCAAATCTTATCTTTGACTGCTGTTTGACACCCACTTAGCCTAACAACTGCACACTGCTGTTACAGCTCACCAAAACCGGTACACCTATAATGCCTCTGAGTCACTACAATCTTCCGTTTCCTCCCCATCCAAGTTGGTCTGCTGACCAGATTAACAAAGCAGCTGGAAGTGCAGCCACTAAATTACTGCCTTGCAGAACCAAGCTTCATTTCTTTGTCAGATCAAGCACACTCTTCCTTGCATCCCACAGCTACTACCATGTAAGTGACCATTTACAGCAGCTATAGAAAGGTTGCAACCTGCGTTACAAATCAGCAGGGAATCCCTCTTCATAATATATTTTCAGGATTCCCACTTCACACACTGAATATGTTTCCTGAATACAAGGTACCACTGGACGCTACCCAGATATCCATTAACTCCTTCTGAAGTGGTTTGCTGCTGCAGGTTAGCATGAACGATTTGTATTTCCTTGGAATGGACAAGAAATTAAGTTATGCAAGCCTATTTTAATCAATAGCCTACCCACTCCCCCCAAAAAAACCCCCAACCTCCTGCCTTTTATTATTTGTACTATCCATTTGTGAAAAAAAGATCAAAACAGATTTGAAGTAATAGGATAGAACTGGAAAACCTACCAGCACTACTAAAATGAGCTAAAAAAAATAAATTAGTCTTCAGCAGCAAACAGGATCCTGAGCAAGTACAAGACTCCCAAAAATTGTATTATTAAGAAACTGAAAACAACAAAAACGTTGCCATGTTTTATTACACAGGACACCTTCCAAATGATACACCTATGGACAGACTACCCAACTCCTCAGCTATTACTTAAATCAGTATGGATTTTGCATGACAGTCATCTGGACCCAGAAAAATTTACTGCCGGTGTATTTAACCTTGTGAGCAAATGTTATCTAGCTGACAAAAAGTATCTTGATCTTCCACCCAGCATAAGCCTCAAGGGAATGAATGAGCCTCAAAAAGCAACAATGATAACCTCAAAAAACCAAAACAAAAATCTCACCCTGCCCCATCCTCCCCCGCCCCCTTTTTTTTTTCCTTCTATCTAGTAACAGGTTTCCCTGGGTGTAGTCATCTCTCTTGACCTGCAGTGCTCTTAAGATGTCAAAAAGGAGTATCTCTTACCTGCCTTAGTTAGGGATCCCCTAGCAGGGAAAGATGATGGAGTAGATACTGTGGCTTTCTTTGCAGGACATTCCTTACTGCTCCTTCCAGAATTCCCTCCCACCTGCTATCCACCAAGGTGTCAGCATCATCCCCGCTCACTACCACTTGAAGGACCACTGACACTTAAAAGCAGAATCTCAGAAGCAGAGCTGAATGGGTGAAGTCTTAGTCTTCACAGAATTTAAAGGCCACCACTCTTGCGGCTTGGAACAGAGAGTATTATTTTCTATTGTTAATTTATGTAGTACCAACAATGAGCACGGCAAAATTGCAGAGATACAAACAATACATCCATTCGCACAGCTGCAAAACTGCATTTTTACACTGGACCTTAGGTAAGAGAGACTATAAAGTGGCATTTGTGAGATGCTACTATAAAGAAAACAGAATTACCTTATGCAAAAATAGTAAGCCTCTCCTATTTCCAAAAAGCAAGACAACACTAGTAAAGTGCACTAGGGCATCACACTGAGCAAAATTCACTAAAATTACACCTAGTAGATGACTTTGACCTTACTGACACAAAGGCTTTACAGACTAGGAAAAAATGTTGTTCTCTAACACTTTTGCCAAGTCTTAACTTCATTTTTATATATACATACAAAAAGAGTTAATAAACAGAATAGTGTAGTTTCAGTGCCACCCTGAACAAGATCCCCTGAAACTAGCACAGTTTTAGACTTCTATATTTTCATAAACAGAAAGACCTATCTGCTTGCAGCAAATCAGAAACCAAGCTGAAGATTAATTATTTCAGGCACTACTATTTAAATACAGTATCCAAAGCTAATTACACAATGCAGAAATCGACCAAACCAAACCAAATTTAGAAATCTTACAAAACCCAGCCAAGACTAACATCCTCACTATTCTACAGAACTCACTGAAGTAATGTCAAAGCACATTCGGAATTTTTGTTCTTTGTTGAAGTTTTTGTCAGGTTTATCGCTGTGAATTGTTGCTAATCAGACTGCAGTGACAGTCTGAAACACAGCCCCTGTTCACACTGAGCTGCATTACTGATGACTGCAGCCAGGTCAGGGTGGTCTTGTTTGCTCTTAGTGTCTGTGGCTTCTACTCCCGTGGCACCCAAGCGGGTGCTGGTCTGTTTCCACCTGTGATGCCACGGGTGCCTGTGCATTTTCACTTAGGGCTCCCAGATACTAGAATTGGCTTCCCTTCTAGTCAATAGGCTTTCATGTACATTTGGGACACGTAACCAGCAGTGTGTTCAGGCTGGTATCCTCTCTTAGCTTTGAACTCCTGATCAGGTCGCTATTTGATCAGTGGTGGAAGTTATTCAGGGCAATGATGGCTTTGATCTGTGCTGGTCTTTGACCAGTTTTTGGTTTTAGACCCGTGCACAAATACTGCAGGACACACAAAATATTAGATACCCAACAAAAGCCATTTGTACTCAAGCTTCCACAGCTGTTTCATAATACACGTATGATATGCAAGTATGTGCCCACATGCCAAAAGAAAGCTAATATGCACTCCTGATAACCTGGCAATATCTCACTTTTCTATTGTCTGGAGCCAAAGGAGGTGATCTGCTGATTTACCAGAGAAATTCTCCTCTGTTGCAGGTTATTGACATTTGGTTTCCATGACAGGCAATACACAGTCACATGCCCTGTGAGCTCCCGCAACTTATAATAAAAACAAGCCCATAGTTCCATATTGGGCTAGTCTAGCCCACTTACCTGCTCACTCTGCAGAAAGGGTTAACCTGGCAAGTGCTGAGCATGCCCCTGTGCTATCTCACCTGGATACCTGCCTCTAGTTCTCAAGCTGACTAACAAAGCAATCCCTAACCACAGATCCTGGCCTACAGCAAGCCCTCTGCACTTTTCCAAAATAAACAGAACCGTGCCACTAGGTATTTTTATGAGAAGAAGAAAAAACAGTGAAAATAAGGATGTTTCTCCTGCTAAAGCTCAACACAAGAACAAATGGAGTCTTTTTTTTTTTCCCCCCTTCAAGAGGGGAGTGATTAAACAAAGGGAGAGTCACAAATTCTGATCTCTAACCAGATACAAGATGCTACGTGGGCAGCTGTGGCAAGAGGAGAGGAAGGGCGTGACCAGAAGGCAAAAAAATGAGTAAACCAGAAGATGCTATCTAGCCTGGCATGTGAAGGCACACACATCCCTGTCCTTGTCTCTAGCACGCCAGAGTGGGAAGCCTCTGAAGCTTCTATGCTGCAGATTATTTAACAGAGACATTTTGCGTAATTTTTCCATGCTAACTCTTTACCTCTGGTTAAAGTGATTCCTTAAATACTGTTTTGCACTTAGGCATTCCTCCTTTTTACCGAGGCCTCAGACCAGCCTCCTTTGGCTCTTTCCTTACTTTGGCTTTATTTTCCTCTTCCTGCATCTTTCCCCTTCTCTCCACCCTTCTGACTGGTTGTTCTGAGCCAGTTTCCTTGTAGTTTTCATTCACCACAGTGTGTTTTTACTGCTTGCATCTCCTTGTTTCATCTTCCCATCCATAAGAAGGCTCCATGCTCCTCAGGGAAGGGAGCCTTCTCAAATCACTTGTCCTTACTGGGCTGCCTGTGTACTGTCATTTATTCAAGGACAGCTGGAGGAGGGAGATGAGCACCTAGACCTAACAAACTATGACCCGAGCACAAACTCATTGCACCTCAGTGCAGCATTTACAATCACTGCAGGAAAGAACAAGGACAATAGCAGGCTATAAAATTTGTGAGTCAAGACAGACAGGTTGCAGAACAGCCTCACAGTCCCCTAAAGACATTACTAAATACTCCACAACACATGCCCAAAATACCCCAGCAGAAAAGGGGAGGGGGCGGGGGAAGAATATCCAGACCTCCTCATCCAGGATGTCACAAGCCAGGCGGATGCGGGACACATCAACGAGGTGGGGCTCAGATTTTAACTTCCTGGAACGCAGGCTCCACAGCTTCACACATGAATTATCGAACCCAGCAGCGAGCAGCTTGCTATTTGGTGAAATCTCTGCAGTGTTCAGCAACTGCTCCGTGTTATAGAAGGCATAGAAACAGATGGTCGTTAAGGAAGGGGGCCCGTCCTTGACACGTTTAATGCTGTCCTGCAGTAAATCCAGCGCCGCCTCGTTCTGCAGAATGGAAGCTGGCACGTCGCTGGGTTCCAGGCCGTTGCTCTCGTTGCGCGAGGAGCTCCCACCAGCGTAGAGCTGGTAGTCAGTCCTCTTGGCGGGCTGCACATCCAGGTGAATGTGCAAGGTCAGGACTTTGCACAGGGCGTTGTTGTTGTCACTTTGGAGGTAGCGAAGAAGGTAGTTGTAGCTGTCCTCTTGAAGGCGGATGACATACTTGTTGTCCAGAAAAGCCCGGAGCTTCAAGTTGGACAGGATATCTTGAATAGTCATGGTAGTTTGCAACTGCTCAATGATATCCTTCTGGCTGGCATTCTGCAAGAACATGCCATGGAAGCGGCTGTAAAAACTGTCCACTGTGCTTTTTAGGCCATTCTGGACCATGTTCAGATGGAGGTAGACAAAGAGGGGATACAGAAGAGGCATCACTTCATGGCTGTGCTGAGAATCTGAATCTGTATAAAAAAACAGCAACAAACCTTGAATGATTTCTCAATCCACCTTCTACTGGGAATAAAACAGAGCAAGGACAATTACTGCAAAAAGCTTTGACTGTGGTATCAGAGAGCAAGCAAGAGGAGGTTTTTGTTGGTGCATCTAAGTGAACGTCTTCTGTCACCTAAAGGGGATACACAGTACCTACTATGGATTTAAAGAGAGATTTTCAAGTCAGTGAGGTATGTTTTAAGAACAAAATGCAGAGATTTCAAACTCCTTTTTAGGTGTGGGTCAGCTATTAAAATACCCCCTCAAACTACATGACAGCTGAGTTTTCCCCCTATGCATTCAGAAAGAAAAACTATGTCCTCTGTTTATTGCAATAAATGGACTTTAAAATTTAGTCATTATATTTTTTAAAAATACTATTTACTGTGTTTAAGTCAAAATTATTTACCTAGCTTGTGCAGGCCTGAATTTTGGTGGGTTTTTTTCCTCTCAGCTTCAATAAAACTTGCATGTGGTGCTTTGGATGGAACTGATTTGTCTCCAGGGGAAGGAAGCTACAGCTTCCAAAATGTGCTGCAATATGCTGTGCTCTTGTTTTATTTCTGTGCCTGCTCATGTGCACGCTTTCTCTCTCTCTCCCCCTCTTTGTGCCAAGGCAAATCCCAGCAGTAATTCCTAGTACACAGTGTAACAAACTCCCAATTAGGCTGTGCTGTACCTTGCAGAGACTAATCTGTGCAACAGCTCCACCCCTCCTTCACCAGCTTCTTGGGGCTGTTTCCCTCCCACGTTCAGCAAGGAGCTTACCCAGAACACAATGGCAGTGTAAAGGGCCACAACAAGTTACCAGAGGACTAAATCGTCCAAATTATTGGAAGAAAATAGGCACTGCCAGTCTTCAAACAGCATTGCTGCTTTTCAACTTGTTCTTCCCTCCTGCCACTCACCAATGCATATTTTCTCCCCCTTTTCATCAGATTATTTTCCCTCTCCTGTTGAGCATCTGCCCAGACTTTCTCTGGTCCATACTGTGCCTCTCCCTCATTTCTATGTGAGTAACTACAGAACATGTGCGTGGTCTGCAGTGTATACATGCATATTTGCATACTTAGGCATCATTCTCCTTTCTGTCCCACTGAAACTGGGCCAAAGCCAGTGAAACCAGTGGTCCGTATGTAGTAAAAGCACCAAGCAGCTAGCAGCTGCTCTTTTCTCTGCGGGTGCTCTAGTCCAGAAATGCAACAGGGGGAAGGACCTCACTCTGCAACAGGGGAAAAAGGGAAGATACGGGAAGTTGGCAGAAACAGGAATGAAGCAAACGTTCCCTGGGAACACATGAAGAGCAGTTACAGAGGCTGGGTCTGTCTAGCCTGGAGACGAACCTCTGCCTTCAGTACCCAGGAAGGCATTATGGAAGAAAAGGAGCCAGCCTCTTCTCAGAGGTGCCAGTGAAAGGACAGGCAAGCTGCTGCCAGGGAAAGTGTCACCAAATTGCTCAGCCCTGCAGCTGGGGCCCAGAGGCACAGAGCAATCTCCACACTCTGATTTTCAAAACCTGGCTGGACAAGGTGCTGAGCAACCTGATCAAACTCCAATCTTGCCCTGCTTTGAGAAGCTGGTTGAACTAGAGACCTCTAGAGTAATTCCTAAATTATTCAGTGGTCCTAGTCCCCTGCCCACTCCCCAGTGCCCTGGGGGCAGACATCACAGAAATGAGGAGTGTCTTGCTGTGCCTTGTGGCTGGCTGGCAAGTTACTCCCTTGCAGAAACAGAAGCAGTTCATGCATGTAAGAAATCAAAACTGAGCAAGAGGGACAAAAAAAGATGAAAATAGTTGACCTGAACACCAAAACCATACCTAGCGCTTCCCCAAGTGATACTTAAGCTACTGAACAGAGCAATCATACTTCTCAAAAATCTAAAAAACTGTAAGGATTTACCTTCACTACTAAAGTACAATGGTGTTGAACTGCTCTAGGTGGCAAGGCTTACACTTCACTATTTCTCCCTCCCTTTCCTTTCAACAACTACCAGGAATTTTAGCCCTAGTGTTATGCACACTGGGATCAAATCCCTACACTGGACAAATGCAGATGTGCCCAAAGGCGGGAGGAGTGGCAACCTCACTTTCCTTGGTACTATTCTCTAAAAATCCTATCTGCTTTCTTCTTTCCACATTTGGGACTCAGAGAAGAAATAAGGACATTCCCAGGAGTACCTTTTTTTTTTTTTTAAATGTAATTAAAAATTACATTAAAAAAAAAGAAAAATCATTATTGTCTTCTGCATCACAGTACAGAATGAGAACTTTCTTCCTTTCTGTCACGTACCTGCAGTCTCAAAGCCAGTACAGGTAAATTTAAGGGAACAAATTCTCCCTTAAAAATCCAGACCATCATAAAAATAAGCCAATTATGAATAAAATTAAAACCCCTAGACTAGGAGACAGCAGAGAACTACACTAATTTCTAAGTTACTTGCCTTTCACATAAAACACTCTAATCTTCCTTCTTGTCCTGTGTGTGTATGCTGTTGTCTGGAAGATCTATAAAGGCCAAATGCTTGAACAAGAAAGGGCAAACAGTCAGCTATCTACAAAAGCCAAAGGTACTCAGCACTCAGACAACAACAAAAAAGAAAAATTAAATGTTTCTAATTCTAGTAACTGAAGTCTCAAAACTAGAAATCAAAAGATTGTTAGATATATGATTTTAGATTTTATTATATTGTCCTTCACTCATTGAAATGACAAAAAGAAAATAAAAATCAGCTACTGTCCTCTTCCTTGCTTCCTGATATTTACCTGTGAGAAAATTGCGTAATCGTCCAAATTGTACTTCATATTGCTGTGGCTCCGCCAGGCAGGGAGCTGCAGACACAACATTGGCACAACCAGATTCAGACTGAACTGTGAAATAAAATAAGTAAAAATTAAATAGGGATTTAAGGAGTTCTTCAGGTATCTGGAAACAAAGCTTCTCATAAAATCCAAGGTAATGCAGCCACCAAGATGACATTTCATCTTTCAAACCGTCCAGGGATGACATAGTCCGAAGCACCTAAACATGGCATTAACAACCTAGACAGATCATGGATAAGAAAGTATTCTGGAAGCTTAAAAAAGCCAAACCTAAAAAAATCTTACAAAGTCACCTGCTCCCCCCCCCCGAATACATTTTAAGGTTTCAAATATAACCTTAAGTTCCCAAGAAATTCAGAGAAACACCATCACAGATCCCTTAACAGTTTTACTACTTTGCACTCAGAAAAGACGAGGAAAACAATGTACAACTTTCTCCAAAACAAAGTTTCTTTTTCAGGGGGACTCACCACCCATCACAGACAGAAGGTCTGCAGTGACACTACCTCAGAGTCTCAAATTTCTTGTCCCAGTTATTATCATTTACTACAAATGATAATCATTATCATTTACTAGTCTTCCAGACGTGGTGGTGAAAACACACTGAATCTCTAAGCAAACAGTGACTAGTTTTTAATCAAAATGTATCCTCCGCCCTGAGCATTTTAGGTTAAAGGGCAGCTGGTATCTGACCACAGACCCAGTTGTTACGGTCTCCTGAGATGGTGTTAACCTGATTTTCAGAACTTGTATTAACTCTGGTAAAAGCAGTTCTGAACTACTTAGAAAGGAAATTGACTTCTACTTCTCTGGCACCAAACCTTTGCTCTTCTGCTAACCTCTGACAGGGGACTTTGTGCAAGTTTACAGACACCCACCAACATACCCTAAGCATATACAAATATCAGTGATTAAAAACATAGGTTACAATATTTACAAAATTATAATATGTTTATTTGTCTGCTCTTCTAAGAGGAGCACAAAAGGGCAAGGAGTTTCACTGTTTTCTTTTCCTCATTGTTTTTCAATTCATAACTGTTTTCCCCTCCACAAAACCTGTTTTCATTACTCTTGCTTTCAACTCCTTCAACTTCTTTCAGTCTCCTCTGCCCCCCCACTGCTTTCCATCCTCTCCCTTTGCCTTCCTGCTCCTGATTGATCGCTTTTTGCTCCAGCATTTGGCTCACACACAGAGGCACAACTCTGACAGCCCTGGAAGTCTATAAACAACATCATCAAATTTTCACATGCTGAAGAGAGATAGGCCAGCCTCCAGCTCGTCTCAATGCTTCTAATTAGAAAGAGATCAGCACATGGTGTACAGGCAGCCTGTCGCTGTTCTCCCCTCTCTCTCTCTGGTAAGGCACAGGTCTATCTTCCCAGAGCTTAGGGAAATACAGAAGGTATTTTTACCAACTCACCAGGGCAAGCTGAATTCAGCTTTGAAAACAAGAGAGCTGGGCTCTCCTTATCATCCCCTCATGGGAAGAAACAAATACAGATCCCAGCACCAATACCCTATCTGCTCTCAAATCAGTTTCAAAATAAACAAATATAACCTATTGAAAGGTACAGATACACTGTGCTTTCCACAGCTGGGCTGCTTCGGAAACTCAAAGCCGGTAAGAACTCCAGGCTCACATCCTGATAGTACTTAACAGCTAAAGTAAAAAAACCTCTACCGTTCTTAAATTTTAATATAATCAACATTCAGCATGAGAAAGTAAACTGCATGCACACACATGCAGTAACTCAAAAACACTTAGTGACAGTTTTCAATGTTACCCATGCTACTCATTGTAAAAGCAAAGAAAAACAGAAATACGAAGGCCTGTCTTTTATGCTGTGTCTGAAGGGTCAACTCTTCAGAGTTCTGGTGGCCTCATTTCAATGGGAATGGGAACGACTTGCCACCTTGCGCGGGCCATGCAAGCACAACTTACCGTCCTTGGCTTTATGAAGTGCTCCCTCCATGCCACCTATTTAACTTCCTCTGCGTAAGCAACTTAATTCCAAAATTACGATGTACTTCATGCTTCAGAAAGAGGAATATCATCCTTGGCCACCTATCCTGGAGCAGTCTGACTAGGCAATCATTACACCCTACTGTTTCAGTTGTGATGCTAGAGCTCATTCCCATCAAACACACGGTAAATGAACCCCACAGACCAGACAGTTATAACAAGTTCAAATTCCAATTCTTTTCCTTCCCAAAACTTTACACCAACCAGAACTGCAAAAAGGGATCAAGAGCTCAACTGATTCCAAAACAAGAGAGTAGATTTTCAGGCATATTTTTTTCCTAGGGGAAACAACACACTGGCCATATACTTCTCATACATTAATAAATCTACCGCGGTTTCTTTTCCACCTTCCCCAGTGGTCCTAAGAACATATATTGGAAACATCTGCTCCTGACTTCACTTCCATAATTGCAGCCAGCTATGCGGACCTGATAGCAAATTCAAAGGAACTTGCCTCTAACTCAGGGATACGGACAGAACCCTCCCAGTCTTGTGTGTTGGCTACAAGCAGCATTGCTTCCAGCTAACAAATGCAGGGCTACTGTAAATGCTGTTTTCACAGCAACTGATTCCTCTTTTATGTGAGTGTGATGATGCGTAATTTTACATTATTTCAGGTAGGTGTATGCGTCAATAGTATACTATGGGCGATATTAGAGGAAACTGTTCCTTAGTCACTCATTCTGTCCTCAAATATCATTCTAGTTTTCTACAGAAATACAGGATAGTCACAAGGAAGCTCTGTGCTGTATTTTACTGCAGATGCGATCGGACAGGGTGCTAGACAGTATCATCTGGGTTCCCTTTCCCACGAAAGGCTGGACCAGATGATCTTTCAAGGTCTCTTCCAACCTGGGCTGTTCTATGATTCTGTGAAAACAGAGCTGTACAGATATAGCAAGTATATGAAGCAACGGAGAAGGGTGGAACTAAATAGACTCTGGAAGACAAAAAGAAATGCTGAGGTAAAACTGAGAAACAAAACTATTTAAAACCAAAAACAGAGGACACTTCACAGAAAGAAGAAATCACAGAATTGAAGACAGAAGCAAGCAACTCTCCTGTTTATACAGGCTGGTTAATTTAGAAGTCAAACAGAAGAGCTGAACAGAAAAAGCAAGGTGAGTTTTGTTAAGGAAGGAGCAAAAACATTCAGAAAAAAATATTTGATGGCTTTCCCTGAAATAAAGCAATGCAGGCTTTAGAATCTGGTCAGTTTTTATTCAGTTTGCAAAAGTAAGATGACTGCAGCAGAAAGTATTTTCAGCTTCTGTTGTCAGAATGAATACAAGGTGGGTTTTTCTTTTTTGACAGTCATTCATGGAACTGCAGCATGCTCACTGACACCTTACTACGAGCACATTTGACAAGAAGTAGTAAGCAGCTGAATACATGAGAGCAGACCATTTTCAGTTCTAACGAAAACTGATGACTAAGTTCTGAATCACCAGCCACAAAACCCTTGCACTGGCAAGAGGATACAGACTAATAAGAAGAAATTTAGTAATAACATTTGGTGGAAGATTAGTAAAAAGACAAAACCCAACCATGCCCTCATTCACACCCTTTACTGAAACATTTTTTTTCTGCGTGATGTCATATGCGAATGCAGGGGCTTGTAATCTCAGTTATCTCTTCTACTTCAGATACACTTGTGTCCTCCTGCTATGGATTGGTCCCAAGTTCTAATCCCATTTCAACCCACCTCTCCCGTAAAAATCTCCCATCAAAACCAATTCAGCATTTTACTTTGGTTTCATTCCTTCCCCATCTCCCCCAGTATTATTTCAGGGAATTGCAACAAACCTCCAATAGTTACTCTGAAAACAGCAAGGAAGTGAGAAGTACTAAGAAGATACAAGTCACTTCTAATAATGAGATATTACCCAATTTCCTTCAGGCCCCTGAGAGAGTTAGCCTGGACATTTACCCACAAGTAAATAGTTACATCTTTGGATTGTAACTATGGCAAAATCCTCTAGAGGTGGAAAGAGCTATTTTGGCATCCAGTCATATCTACCTACAAGCACAGAGTTATACAGCAACTACTGTTTTGTCAAATCAAGTTGTATCACGAGTAAATAAGGTCTCCACCGCTCTTAGCCTGGGATGCTGTCACAATCTAAACAGTGTCATCAACAGAAAATATTTCCTCCTTTCATTTTCATCCAAAGGTCAGCCCAGTATTTTCTATTGCTTTTACAAGCAAATTTAATCTTTATAACCTCCACATTGCTTGCATCCTTTCAATATTTGTATGTGCTCAAGCAGTAGCATAATTTGTTGTAACAAAAATAATAATTACAATGAAGACTGTGACAGGCAGGACTTGAGAAGCATGTAGTGTAACAGGATTCAGAAGCCTTTACAAAAGAGGAGAAAGGCCATGCAGGGAAATAAACTGTCTCATCCACTGAAGGGGTTTTTTTTGTTTGTTTGTTTTTTTCCTCCAAGTGACAGAGTGGAGTGTTCACAACCAGAAAGCTGATGAGGCCAAAGAAAGAAACAGCCTGTATCACTTCCATTTCACATGATATAGGTCTCCTGGAGTACAAAAGTACAACAGATTTTCCTGCTTCTACTTAATTCGTCATCTAGGTTCTTCTCACCTCCGTACCAAAGCACCACCGCTCACCAGGCTTCATGCTCTTTGGGATACAACATAAGCATTTTCCACTACCCTGACCTGATATTTCAGGCAGCTGTTTCACTGACTGTGAATCTCACCTTGTTACACTTTCATCCATGTTTTCATTCTTCAGAAGTTCAGAACTCACACCGACTTCACACTGAGAAATCTATTTCAAAAGGACAGCTGTCGACGTGTACAAATTCATGTAGTTACCAATATACATACTCAGACTTGTCACAACTCTGCCAAGAAGCACGCATGGAAAATACGACAGGATTACCTGTGAGATTAGCTGCCATCTCTTCAGCAGTCTGACACAGCCTCAGCCCTTGTTTTAGGGGACCTTCCGAGTCCACATACTGACGGCGCTTGAGGTAGCAGGACACTGCCATCTGAATCTGTTCTGTGCGTACGCGTTTCATGACCTCAAAAGAAAAGATGAGATGATGAGGATCCTCCTGTGTAGGCATATGCTAAGATCAACATACACCATAGCTGTATTAAAACTGATAGAAGACAAGCAGCTCAGTATTTTGGTTGCTGAAGTCAAACAACTTCATTACTCAAGTATGAAACAAAACCTGTAGGCATTTGCCTCTCAGTACTAAGGCCTAACTAGACACTTTGAATCAGACCCCTGAAGATATTTTGCTGCCTAATTCTACTAATTTCACTAGGGAACCAAAAATACTTTTGAGGATTCTGGACTAAAACTGCAGTGGTGAGCTGAAGCATTTGTTTTTGTTAACTCATAAAAAGGGAACATTTCTCCTCCTTGTTTTCTTTACAGTAGCAGTTTGGGTATTCTTCAGTTTTTTTATGATTCCTCTGCTTGACCAACCAACAAAACAATTCCAGAAGAGACAAGGGAATGAGAAATTAATACGCAAAGATGGAAATTTCAGAAACATAATGCTTTAAATAGCACATCTGTTTGGGGAGTCCAAGAAACAATGGTTTATTGCCCGAACTTAAAGTTTATAGCCAGGCTTCTGGAACTTCAGTCAGGTAAGTCCCCAGAAAAAAACAACAGGAAAATTAAATCAAAAGCAGTCTCTTTTGCTTTTTTTTCACCTGCCCTCATCTATCTAGACTTCCCTCCTACAAAATTAAAAAAGAATCCTTTGAAGTTTCCTTTCTGTAAGTTTTGAAAGCCATCCTCACAAATACCACTTGGTAACGTCTCAAAACCAAAAGGAGCCCAATGCTAGCTTTTAGCCTACGGCTTGTAATAAATGAACCTCAGTAAGATGAATGCAATAGTTCCCTTGCTATTTGAGTAGTCCCTAACTGCCACCAATCCTTCGCAATAGCCATCAATTTTACACATAAGTTTAGATAACATAAAGGCTTTAAATAAAGCAGAACTAAGCAACAGTTTTATTCTACCAGAGTAATAGGTAAAGCCTGCCTCAAGATAGTTCTATGCCTTATAGCCTCACTACCAATGACCCGCATTCATTTTACAAGTGCACATGCTTTCCGGTTTGAGTAGCTAAATCTGATGAAACACAACTTCTCAGACAGACAGACAAGGATGCCCTTCCCCCACTTGTAAGAACCGTATTTCTAACAAAATGACAGCTTTAAAAATACGATCATAAATGAGCCTTTTCTAATACCCATGCACGCTTTAGTGCTTATCGCAGCTGTTAGAACAATAAGCGCTCTGTGAAGTTCCAGGAGGATGGGGATGGAAGGTTTCAGCAAAAGTTAAAACAGATATATGGAACTGCAAACCCATATGCTTTGGTGAAAACCTAAAAAATATTTCCATGTGTTCTCACAGGTGAAATAATTGTTAAGGGTGGAGAAGGGGCATCAACAGGTGTGGAGTTTTCAAAGCATTTCCAGATAGACCTATTAAAATCAAGAGTTTCAACCACAACTTTTTCCATTCCAAAAGCAAACTTCCTTTTCATCTTCCTTGCAATTAAAGAAATTATATCTGAGACTTACACTGTCTCAAATATAACACTTTTTCTGCTGCACAAAACTGTAGGAAAGACAGAATTCTAATGAAGACCATGAAGAAAGGTGGACACAGGCATCTTAGCACCTCCCCCCCCCCCCCCA